GCCACTCAGTGGACATTTCTCTTTGAAACTGCGGCGAAACGTGCAGTAAGGTACGTAAAAACGGTGTTGCAGAAAAGCACCCAGAGGTACGTATTTTTATGAGACTGGGTTGTTCATCTCACATAAGGAACAAAACATTTTTGCTGTTTACTTTCAAATAAAAGGACTTTTAAAAGGACGTTTTGGACTGGGGTGGTTCCAGTATGAAAGTATGTTTTCATAATGCAATAAGCTCCTTTATTTAAAATAAGATGAAAGAAAAATGTCTTGTTCCTAGTTTATAATCATGGACCATGGTAAATTAAATGTGCAAAGCAAAAATGCAACTCTATGGGAGGTATCTGAGGCAGCAGACATAATGGATGACAAGTATGTTTGATATGAGATTACACGTCATGGAAAGTGTGCACATCTCAGTGGGCTGCATGTCATATTAGAATGTTTTATGACTACTACAGACTACACTCAATTAAGTTTTGTGTGCATCCCATGAGTTCCTTCATCTGATCTTTGAGGATATCCCCTCAGAGTAAATTTGTTAAAAGTACATCTTGCTAAAACTATGTGCACTTTTTGGTGAGAATGAAATCCCCAATTGCAATGACTCAAGTCAGACATGAGTACGACAAATTATTCTGTTTGAGAACACCTTAAGGCAGAAAAGCAGATACAATAAGCACACTCACACTAATTAAAAAAAATAATTCTGAGAGGCTGAGAAGCAAGTAGACAAAAAAACAGACAGTTTTAAATATTATGAATTCTGTGTGTTTATCTTGTTGTAGCAAAATCTTTTGAACACAGAAATGGTTTAGAATGATTTAGTCTCTTTTCTTTTTTCTACAACTCCAAGTGAAAAACGTGACTATGCTGCTTCACATTTACGCGTATGTCAGAACAATACGTTAAAGCACCTTCTCTTTTTTTTCTGACCGGGAAAATGAGAGGATCACTGTACAGAATACCATCATACATTCTTATATATTTTTTATACAAAAAAGTCATAGAAAGAATTATATACCAAGAGCAGTAACAAATTATAAACAATGGATGTTGCAAATCTAGAATGTGGCTTAAATGTTTAGTTAAAAATAAAAATACTACTACTAATAATAATGAAATAAATAAATTAAGAACTGAAAGTTGCGTTTGTTTATCCATATCTTTCTGTATATAATATAACCGTAACAGTAAAACATAATCAAAACCATATACAGTGACATTGTATCAGACAAACAAAAAAGGCAATGAAACTTAGCTTTTCACAAAATAGAAAAATAAAGATTTTTTTTTTCAAAATAAGAAAAATAGACATTGTATGTTATGATCCTTTGGGTAAAACGTCCTAGGAACACCAGATCTATAGTACACACTTAACAAAATTAAATAGCCATTTTGATGTCTGAAATGCAATTTAACATAGGATTGGCTGGAGATTTTTTACAGATAATAAGTCTAGATAATTTATTTTAAAAATCAGTAAAAAAAAATGATGTGTCATATTTAGGAACAAGATAAAGGAAAGGTCATAGAAACCTGACCTTACAAAATCTAATTCTGATTTAATACTGTATCCTCGCCAAAACTATTGCACACCTGCCTCTGCCCCCCTCCCCCTGTGCAAGACAGTAACACTATTTAGTTGTAAAGCATTACACTCGTAATAATGTTTATGACTACTTTAAAATTCCACTAAAATGTACTAAAAATGCACTATAGATGTGTTCATAGAAAGTATCACCACATTTTGAAATGGTAAAATTGGAGATAATGACTAAACATGATTTATCCAGGTCTTTCACATTTTCGTTTGTCATTTAATAATCATGTAACCAACACTTTTCATTCAAATCAACTTGCACTGCACTAATAGCAAGAGAGTCCCCTTGGAGCAACCTGGGGTAAAGTGCCATCGCTCAAGGGCACAATGATGATAGAAGAGCTCAGTTTTTCCCCAGTTCATGACCTCTGTGTGAAATTAAGCTTGCCACAACCATTTGGCACTAATAAAGGTTTATACACAAAACTTTGATCCAGATCCTGTCCTACATGTCTTTTAAAACATATTGTCTAGCATAACACTCTGACCTATATTTCAGGCTCGAGGGGCTTGTTGTGGAAAGTACAAAAGTAAATCACCAACACTAACAAACTAATCTTACAGAGGGAATAGATCGATAGTTACAGTGTTAGAAAATAGGGGTGGAATGGTTCAACTTACTCACGGTTCGGCTTGTATCACGGTTTTAGAGTTACAGTTTCGGTACGGTTCAGTATGTGCTATGTTTAGGCAAAAAATATACTGTCAAATAAAAATAAAGAAAATAAGAATAATCAATCTAACTACAAGCAACACACAAATAAATACAATAGAGTAAAGATACAAATAAAATAAACAGTGATTTCCAGGTTTTTTTATATAGGTCTAACATTAGTTTTTTAGGTACAGAAGTTGAATAAAGTAATGAAAAGTAAAACAGCATTGCATATTTGACTGTATAAATTAAAGATTATCTTTATTAAAGTTACAAAAGCTATTCAAGAGCAGTGAGTGATTTCTTTGTTGTTGCTGTTTGATTAATATTAAGAAAGTGCTGTCACTTTAAGACAATGCACTGATCCAGTGCAGTGATACAGTATGTTCAGCCGGCTATGTCTGCTATAGGAGGATACTTACCAAGACGGGCATTTTGACATACTTTTTGTGTGAATTTGTCCATTCAAACACAATACTTAAGAGAGAGCTTAATATTTGCGCGCGTTCTGAGGCGCGGGTTTGCGCGCTTCAGATGAGCACACGCACAAATCTTCTCACTGAGTGCGCGAGCTCGCGACCTCTGGCTCTTAAATGTTTAAACTGGTAAGGCTTAAATGAGTTTAGTATAAACACAGATATCAACGTGTGCTGTTCAGGTCTCACCTGTGTGTGCGCGCGCGCTATCAGCACCCGGGTGATGATGGAATAAATGCTCATATTCCAGCATATGGCATTCACATTGAACAAGAGTGAATGGTTTGTTCACGTTTTTTTTTTATTTTCATCGCTGTTGTTGTAATGTATTGGGAAGCCAGAATGCGCATCCGTCAACAGAAACATACATTAGCCGAACCCTGTTTGTTTTACATGTTATTTATAGCAAACCATATTACAGATGCGTTGTCAGATTTAAGTTGAACCGCGGTCCTAGCGCGCGCCGAACCATGTGTGGAGAACCGTACAGTTCGATTTTTTTCCGTGAACCGTTCCACCCCTATTAGAAAATGATCATTGAGGTAATTACCATCATGGAAAATCAGGAAATCATAATCAAACATTATTTTGAAAGCATATTCCAAGGGTATAATCATACCCTTGGAATATGCTTGCAAAATGTAATTTAATCAATTATTCACATAGTCATATAGCATGGTACTTTAAAGAATAGTGTGGCATTACAGAGGTACCATGTCTAAATCATGTTGGTATATACCATTTTTTTACTTTTTTTTTCTACTTTTTAAAAAGGGTAGACAAAGGGGACATCGAACAGAGTCTCTTCTTGGTTGGGTATGCAACGTATTGGTTGGGTATGTAATATGTAGTAAATATCGCTTTGTATAAATAATATGTACCTCAGACAGACTGACTTGTACTGTGCTGTATCAGTACTAAAGGAAATTTGCAGCGATCTGATCAGACGACAGTCAGCTTTCAAACTCTGAAACTAAAAACAAATGTGACAGATGCACTGATAAACTGAAAAAGAGGCACATAATGTCAATAAACATCATAGACAATTAGCAGATTAGGTTTGCAGATTTGATTATGACAACGAAATCTTCCTGTACTTTAGATTTGTATTTCTCCTCAGTGTAAAATATGTATGACAGGCTATACTGTATTCTTCAGTTGTTCAGGAAAAATGCAGGGGGACAACACTAGAATTAACTTAAAAAAGTAAAAACGACAACAAAAGAAAAAGAACCTACAAAAATTCATTACATTTGCATTTCTTTTTTTTTTTTCATTTCACCTGCTAAATTATGTAGTTCTGTCTCATGGGAACATTTGGTCCAATGTGATGCACATCCACTTAGCTGAAGAAAATCCTCTTGGCAAACTGCAGTGCACAGTCGGATAAATTCTCTCTTTTATTCCCCCTGCTTTTCTGAGATACCCCCATATCCCTTGTTCTTGGGTATTTATTCATATCTGCTTTAATATTTGAAGGCAACTGGAGATATCCTTCGTCCAGCTCTTAATAAACAGGACCAGCCCTGGCCTCGACTGCTTGCCTAGCTCGGACACAAACCTTTGAACTTCTTTGTGATCAAATGATAAGAAGGACAATATTGACATGGAAAAATCATGCATTACACAGTCATGGCCACTGCTGAGGTGTCTTTTCATTACAGCCATTTGAGTCCTTCTTGACGTCATATGATGCAGCAAGTTCATATCCTTTTCACCAGACGAGTTCGGAGAATGGGTTGTTTTTTGTTCTTTTTTGGCAGAGCTAATCCAATATCCCTGTCAGACTGTACTCTCCATAACCCACTCAGAGCTATCAAACGGTGCCTTATCCCCTTCCCCCTCGCTCTCGTCGCACTGCAGGAGCATACCGTTGACCGAGAGACTCCTCTTAGTCCAAATGTTGCTGATGCGTCGTGGGTAACTAAGGCACTGTGAAGCACCAAAGTCGCCCATGTCAAACGAGTGGCTGCGCTTGGGCTTGTTCTCTGATGGCAGCATTACAAGCTTCCCAAGCTTGGACTCTCCCTGGCCTAGCAGAGGCTCCTTGTCAGTGGGCGGTCTCATGCCCATCGCCATGGTCCCTGAAGAAGATGCTCCTACCGGATCTCTTGCGGGAACCCTCAGGTCCAGAGAAGCAAATGCCCCAAGCAGGTTATCCAGGTTTGGTCGTGCCTTAGTTGACGACTGCTTCCACCTGTTGGGCAAGGTGTTAGAATCCACATGTCGATTGTAAGACTCAACTTTCTCACTTCCAAGGGAGTCAGCCGAGGAGGATGAAGAGGACGAGATGCTACTCTGCAAGGAGCCACACTTAAACTCCACCACTTCATCTCGCATCACCACTACAGTCTTTGGAGCCTGTGGTGTAGGAGCGCCGTTGTTTAGTCGCTGTGTAGCCTGTGGTCTCCCATTGGTCTGGGAGTAGGTATTGCTCACCGTCACCAACTTTGCAACCTGCAATCCACTGTTTACTTTATAGCGTACCATAAGGATGACGATAAAGACCAACAAAGTGACTACGATCACTCCACCAATCACCAAGATCATGGTTCCTCCTAAAAACTGACTGTGCAGTGACTGGCAGCGGGGATACTCGTCACGTGTCTCAAACTGCACACAACCCACTATGTTCGTCGCAGTGAGTGTGGTAGTGGTGTCTTCCCAGATGGCCAACACGCATAGATCATACTGCATTCCTGGCATCAGGTTGTTGACCAAGAAGGATCTGCTGATCACCGGAATCATCCTGTGAACAAGAAGACACAGAAATTAACACTGACTCTCAAAGTTCAACAGAAGACTAATCATTAAGTAGATGCAGTAGATTGAAACCAGCAGTATATCATACTGAAGGTGGTTATTAAAATGCACATACTGATTGCTCATTGCTTTATTATGGATGCACACGATGCTCTGTGCGTTGGCAGAAAACAATCATTAATCCTTTTATTATGGTGAAAACTTAATTACTTGGAAAGCACTGATCATATCAACCTTGGAAGTTCATTTAGATGAAATGATTTTGAAATGAGGTCTATTGTGCAGTCAATGGAGCCAGAGATAAAAAGCAGTTGTTTTTGACTGACAGGAAGCAATGTGGGGATTACGTAAATATCACTATTTGAAAATGTACTTGACGCACATGCAACATTACTGTCAACACTGAATCATTAAAACAGGCAAAGCATTTTTTTGAATGGTAATTAAGTAAATATTGTTTTGGAAAGGGGGAAAAAATAAATTAATAAAATTTTTATTTTAGGTTTCTGAATTGGTTAAGAGGATAGATCTGGCTTAATAAAAAATATATTTCCTTAAGTTCATTGTATGTAGTACTCCAGCACTCGACCTCCTAAAAAGCACCTTGCGTACAGAGGGCATGTAATCACAAATTATATTTTTTTCTAACTGCATTAGCTCATCATTATCTGGTACATTCTTTGCAGATACCTTGCTGTGGATGTAGACTGAGAATACGAATTAGAGTGCAATCATTTACCTAACTACCCTGCTATGAGAAGGTTAAGTAGTTGAAAAGGAGTGATAGAAGTGTCTGAGGCTATTTTCAGAATCTGGGCAAATAGAAGAAAAAAATGTACAATTATATATTTCACATTTTATTTTTTTAAAACCACAAGCAATAATAAGAATAAACATAAGATTAATATGCGTATATTTGTCACTGGGGTTCAATGCAAAATAAGACATAAAAATAGGAACCCAAAAATGAAAATTATGTCATCATTTACCTACTTACTAACCCCTATGACTTTCTGCATTGCAACACGAAAGTAAATTACTGTTTTTAAGATATTAAGATATTGGGGAAGTTGTGGTATTGAAGGTGGGAGAGAGCGCTGTACATTCACTCCCCCCACCTACAATCCCTGCTGGTACGAGACTCGAACCCGCAACCTTTGGGTTGCAAGTCCGAATCTCTAACCATTAGGCCACGACTTCCCCAAAGATATTGTAAGGATTCAGAAGACTTGGAATATAGTGCATAAGTCATATGGACAACTTTATGCTTTTGCATTCCCAGTCATTGCAAGTGCATGGACAAGAAAGACAAGCATAGTATTAAGACGTTCAGTTTTGTGTTAAAGGAAATTAAAAAGTAAAAGGGCAAGTAAATAAGACAAAATTACAATTTTTGGGGTGAACGAAAAAAAAAAGTACTATTGAGTTGATTTGGTTCTTTATCTTAGGCCTTTCCTAAAACTAGCACATCATGGGATTTTGTGTTAGAGACATCCATCTGGGCAAATAGAAGAAAACATTTACAATTATATATTTCACATTTTATTTTTTTAAAACCACAAGCAATAATAAGAATAAAAATAAGATTAATATGCGTATATTTGTCACTGGGGTTCAATGCAAAATAAGACATAAAAATAGGAACCCAAAAATGAAAATTATGTCATCATTTACCTACTTACTAACCCCTATGACTTTCTGCATTGCAACACGAAAGTAAATTACTGTTTTTAAGATATTAAGATATTGGGGAAGTTGTGGTATTGAAGGTGGGAGAGAGCGCTGTACATTCACTCCCCCCACCTACAATCCCTGCTGGTACGAGACTCGAACCCGCAACCTTTGGGTTGCAAGTCCGAATCTCTAACCATTAGGCCACGACTTCCCCAAAGATATTGTAAGGATTCAGAAGACTTGGAATATAGTGCATAAGTCATATGGACAACTTTATGCTTTTGCATTCCCAGTCATTGCAAGTGCATGGACAAGAAAGACAAGCATAGTATTAAGACGTTCAGTTTTGTGTTAAAGGAAATTAAAAAGTAAAAGGGCAAGTAAATAAGACAAAATTACAATTTTTGGGGTGAACGAAAAAAAAAAGTACTATTGAGTTGATTTGGTTCTTTATCTTAGGCCTTTCCTAAAACTAGCACATCATGGGATTTTGTGTTAGAGACATCCTTTAACACACTAAAACCACATCTAGCAGTGCAGCCTGACACATTGTCTACGGTAAGCCTCTATGCCAGCTAGTCCATTACTCATTCATAATTGCTTTCCCATCACAGGAGAAGACGCTACATTCAGTGGTGACAGCTTTACGAGAGAGCCCAACCTTTTTCCACTCGTGCCTTGTGATTGATTTTTTTTCTTTGTTGTTGCCAGCATCCAGGCTAACACTGCTCTTCCAAGACAGGAGGAAGAAAATAGATCTATGGATAATACCACATGCAGTTCACTAGCACGAAGTCATTAAAGGGGTCATGAACTGCAAAATCAAAAGTCCCTTGATTTTTTTATATATAAGAGGCGGTTGTGCTATAAAAAACATTCTGGACGTTTCAGAACTCAAAACTTTCTTGTTAGTCTAACAACAACTTATATTGAACTCAATCTGCCAAAACAACAGGTTGTGGAATGTGCCACTTTATGACATACTGTAATCGTGTGGCTAAACAGTGCCTTCTGTTTAGCCTCGCCCACTGAATAACGGACATAGTACAGTAGGTAAATGACAAGAGCGGTAAATGCAGGTCTACACAGAAACCAAATGATAAACTGTATTTGATGAACTTTATTTATAAAGAAGATCCAGACCGCATCAGTAGGAAATTGGTCCTTTGTTCACTAAATTTTACTGCAAATTTGTTTACAAACAAGGCACAATTCGAAGCAGGATTTTCAGAAAGATTGAAACTAAAAGACGATGCTGTGACTACTATATTGGATCGAACCACACAAGTGTGAGTAACTGATCACTGTGATCACTATCTATGAAGGATGCAGGCTGTCAAACACACACCACCACTAGCCAATCATACCAGTGGGTGTTTACTTCCAAGTCTACAATCCGCCATACCTATTCAAACAAAGTGTTCCGAAGAGTGGGGTTAACAGGACAGAGAATACCCTATTGCTTCTAAATTATGTTTTGCTTTGTTTTTTTAATGTAAAAAACTTCATAACATTATAAGTGGACCTCAGAGAACAGTACAAAAAAACAAAAAACAAAAAAAACAAGGCAGTTCATAACCCCTTTAAGTAATAGAGAGGCACCAGAAAATGAACCGTCATACTCATTCTTTGTAGATTATATGTTTTTCACAAGTCAGGCAAACCAGATAGCCTAATGCTTATGCATAGCCTTTCATATTTAGGCAGTTTGAAAGGGGAACCCATCACTTTGATTATAAAGAAAGAAGTAAGAGAAGTGAGCTGAAATTAAAATCAAAAGAATAAAGCATATCATAAAAGCTCTTGTTGCCTCAGGCTTCCAATGGTGATGATCATGATGGTTGTATTATGCAAAGAAAAAAAGCCTAGAGGTAATAGGGATTTCTACACATTTTTTTTCACACAGAGAAAATGTTGCATTCGATTAAAAGATGGAGAAACCAATCTTTCGACAGCTAATAGTGGTTTATTTAAATATTTAAAAAAAATGTCTGTGCCTTTTGACTGTAATACAAATTGTATTTATGTATTCATTCATTTATTCATTCATCCATTTATTTATTGTTTAAAAAAACAGTCTACATACATATTGCTTATAGTTTTAAGCATACGATCATAAAAAGGTTTGCTTCTATCGCAAAGATATTTTGATTACACTTTATGTTACAGTATGTGTACTTACAGTGTAATTACTGGGTAAGTACTGGGTATAAGGTAGCTACATGGGTTATGTTAGGGGTTGGTTCAGGGTTAGTACAGTAGTTATTACCCAGTTATTGTAAGTGCTATAATAAGTACATAGGCATAGAACAGGACTGTAAAATAAAGTGCAACCAATATATTTTCTAGAAGAAAAAAAAAAAATACTAGCATATTTTTATTTATTTATTTACTTATTTATTTGTGTGTTTGCCTAAATACTCAACAGGCAAGGAGGACTATGGATTATCAAGTGCTGTTGGTGGGTTTTAGACATACAGTGGTGGACAAAATGATTAGACCACAAGTACTTTCACCAGCTAAAAAAATTGTTTTAAGTCAGTTATTTCTATCTTTTGCTGTAGTGTGTCAGTAGGAAATATCAGTTTACATTTCCAAACATTCATTTTGCCATTAATTGTAATAATCCAGTGAGATTATTGGAACATTTGGTGTGACCATCCTTTGCATTTAAAGCAGCTTTTGCCCTAGGTGCTCTTGCGCATAGTTTTTCAGGTAGCTTTGCAGGTAGGTTTCTTGAAGCATCTTGGAGACGTTGCCACAGTTCTTCTGGATTTAGTCTGTCTCCGTTTGTTCTGTATCTTCATGTTATTCCACGCAGACTGGATAATGATGAGATCAGATCTCTGTGTGGAGCACTGGCTATTATCAGACTCCTTGTGCAAACAAAAATCTCACTGGATTATTACAATTAATGGCAAAATGAACGTTTTGAAATGTAAACTGATATTTCCTACTGACACACTACAGCAAAAGATAGAAATAACTGACTTAAAACCATTTTTTAGCTGGTGAAAATATTAGTGTTCAAATAATTTTGGCTACCACTGTAATAACTGTTAAACATATATTATTATAGTATTTATTACATTTTTTATCCCACTGCCTTGCAGCGTAAACTGGCCGTCTGTCCCTCCAGGACCAAAAGCTTATGGGTATGTTGGGTAATTAACGGTGGTTCACACACAAACTCTTCCTCTCGCACATACCAGAAGTAGCGACCTTTCAGACTAGGAGGGGAGGCGCATGTTTCCATATCGTCCTCCCGTTCTAAACGGCGCAACCAAAGAATCTCACAGTTACAGTGAAGAGGATTCCCGCCAAAGCTGAGAGACAAGACCGGGGCAAACGGTGTACTAAGAACGCTGCTGATCTGTGACCGAGCAAAGATGGGATCTGGCGGAAGCTTCTGGAGACGGTTTGATGTAAGATCCAGCCTTGCCAGCTTTTCTAGATCAATAAAAGTGCCTTCAGCGATGTGGCTGATGAGGTTGTGGTCCAGACTCAGCTGGTGTAGGTTGAGCATTTTCCGAATGGCCTCCCAGGGTATGCCTCGCAGGTTGTTGTAGGAGAGGTCTAGGTCCTCCAAGGTGAGCAGCAGGTCATCGAAAGCTTCTTTGGAGATACGAGTCAGTTGGTTGTTGTTTAGGATGAGGTGTTGTAAGTTCACTAAGCCTCGCAGGACATCTGGGCCCAGCTCTGTCAACCGGTTACTGTCCAGGTGCAGCGAACGCAAGGTTTCAAGATCCACAAAGGAGAAGGGCTGGATGAAGCTGATGGTGTTTCGTGACAGTGTGAGGTCCACAAGGCCCGTCATGTTGGTGAAGTCCTGCTGGGTAATTTTGATAATGTAGTTTCCTCCCAGGCGTAACTCCACGGTTCTTCTGTCAATGTCAGAGGGCACGAACAGCAGACCTTTGGATGGGCACAGTGTGCCCAAGGACTCTGATAGGTTCTGACAAACACAATATTTAGGGCAGGCTGTGGTCATCATCACTGCGCTTCCCAGGAGAAGGAGGCTGCAGAGCACTTTGGCCATGGTAAATCACAAGCAGGGACCTGGATAGACAACAAGAAAAAAAAAACAAAAAAAACAATGGTCAGTCCTTTCCGGCCATACAAACAACAAATGATTTATTGCCTCTGCAAGGGCTATCTGATAAAAATAGTCCTCCTTTTGAGCAAATTTTAGTCCTCATTATGAACCAGCTTAGGCTATTAGAGGCACTTTTTGCAATCCTCATACTCCTGTCAGAGCATTGAAAAGATACTGAGGTATAAAATATATTTTATAGTTGCCGGAAGCAAGAGTGTTTGACGCTATGTCCGTATGTGAATTCCGCAGTAGGCTCCATATCTCTGACACAGAGAGAACGGATGACTGCGCTTGCCCTCAGACAGCAGCCCATAATTCCTGTATATATTTGTATCATCAATTCCAAATATACTCAAAACTTAAATCAATTTTAATCAGTGCTCTGCCAGACTGAGTATAATGGTAGGGCAGGGTTGGTGGAACTGTTTTTACGTGCTTGCAAGAAGGAGAAGGGGTGATTTTCATTTCCAGGCGAGAATTAAAGGATAATAATTCTCTCAGCTGGCAGCACTCATACAATAAATCATCATTGCCTCATCGATACCGTAAATTCCTATAAACCCCAGTACACAGAGTTCTGGATTCCAAAATTATGAGCAACAGCTTATGAGTTTTCAAGCACATCTTGCTTGCTAGCCTCAAGTTTATTGCATATATCAATATAGCTCCGAGGTGAAAGGATGTATATCTGAGTGTTTGTAGAAAACAGGGAGTTGGGTGACTGACATTGGAAACTAGACTGCAACTCATCTTAGAAAATCAGCAAGATTTTTATAAAGAGTAATATTGTGATTACCCTAACCATGTACTCAAAATTGCCTGCAACAAAATAAATTAATTGTTGCATACAGGGGATGGATATTTCATTGCCAATTTGACAGACATGCAATCAGCTTTTGGTAATGCCAGATATTTATGCCAGGGCTGCATTTTGCTAGAAAGCAAATAGCAGAATTACCATAACATGTCAGGCAATTTTGTTTCTCAGCTACTACAAAAACCCTGAAGACTACTAGCACATTAACAAACAATGACTTCTGGTTTTAAAGTCTGGAGAAATGCAATATTTAAAATTGTACAAACGTTTTGAAATGTGGAAAGAAACTAGTAGGACATTTCCCAGTAAACTGAAAATGTGATACACCTAATTTTCTTGTCTATAGTAATTTTACGCTGAAACAGACATCTTGCAGAGAATAAAACATTTTGATGTTTTCTGGAACATATTTTTACTTTACTTCCCTTCTGAGCATATTCCCCAACTATCAATTACTCATTCTCATCATTTCATTCTCAGGAAATCAGATTTTACAGTTTTAAGAAAGAGCAAAAATCCAAAAATACATATTGGTCCAGTATATGTAAACAGTGCAGAAGAACACAAATTCCATCTTGATAAAGACAGGAGGAAGAATGTTTAACCATAGGCATTTGCAACATTTCATTACTGTCATGTTGGTTGGAATTTATGGGCACCCCATATTCGATTCGATTAAATATACCCTATGCGGAATAAAACTTAATTTAAATGTTCATTCAGGACTCACACTGCATAGCAGTGTAAAGTTATAAGAAGTGTTCTTGGGACAAGGGGATATTTGTCATTTTTGACAGCTAAAACCTGATTAGGCTGAATACAGTTGAAGCTTGCCCTTTAGCAGGCCTGTATTTCTGAGGTAAGTTTCCTGCATTACCAATTCTCTTATAACTGCTTGTCAAGCCTCATCTTTATTCATTCCCTTTGCAGCCTGCTAATGGCACAGCCATCAAACACATATATAACAATTGCTGAGGAACACAGCCCTCAAGAACATTGCACATATCTGCATTTCATCCAAATCAGACAGAAAAGGACGGAATGGCGGAGTGGAAAGGAATTTGCTTCACTTTATCAAATGAGCTAAACATCTCGGCTCGTTTGTTGGAGGGAGTGTTTAAATGAGCTAGCCTGGTCACTGCTAACTTCAAGCAAATCAACAAAAAGAGATCTAAGGATTGAGAAAAATCATAGAACTCTCTATTTTTGTCAGTTCAGCAGACATTAAGGCCAAAGAATCATAACTTTAGTAAATGAAAGTGTGTAAGAGCACATCAAAAAGTCTTTTATCAAGTGAAGGAGAAGGTGCCCATGAGACAGCAGGATGTGAAAAACTACAGAGACGACTAAACATCCAAAGGCGAGGTAAAAGCTTAGGCTTCGCAATCATACAGTGCTGAAGCGCAAGATGAAGGTAGAGCTGCCATGAAATGGAGGGCCATTTACTGGAGATCCAGGGGAGAACTCCCCAGTGCAGATGCCTGATTGGACATGGCCTAACCATTATGACAGTTGGAAGTCAGTTTGACAGCGCTGCTCTGAAATCCTCATGACATCTGACTGCAAGATGAATTCCGCAACTGGCATAATATTTGTGCAATGGTCTAAGAAATGTATTTATTTATTTATTTTTACAGTACACAACCATCTTCTACTTTATCATACCATTTAAATATAATAAAAATTCAATGATGGAGTTTCTTCATCTTCTTCCTCTTCTTATATATGTCAAATGCAGAGTTTTCAATTTGATAAATTAACAGTTGTTCTCAAGTACATTTCTTTTTTTTTTCTTTTTGTTAAATTGTTAAGCCAAAAAATATGGCTTCTTTATAGGACATTTAAGGTATATGCATATGTATATGTATGTGACAATGCATGTATGAATAAAACTTTACAGCGTGTTTAGCTTAAATCTTTTAAAGTGACATGACATGTAGCCAAATATGGTGTCCCATACTCAGAATTAGTGCTCTGCATTTAACCTATCCAAGTGAACACACACTCCCCCCACCTACAATCCCTGCCGGTACCGTGACTCGAACCCATGACCTTTGAGTTACAAGGCAGACTCACTAACCATTAGGCCACAACTGCCCCGCATAATCATGCAAATTACCCAGATGCTCTCCGACAACACTCTAAAAGTGTGCAGAATGAAATCCCAAGTGAAGAAACACATACATGTCTTGTGAAATCAACATGTACAAGCACGCCAAGTTTACGACATAATCACTCTTTTCACATAATGTCTTGGTCTACTTAAAGTTCAGGCTTCTTCTTGTACATCATTGCAGGTTTATGAAAATCATTTCATTATACAATAAATGCCATGCTGCCTTTACGCTCTGCCAATAATGTTCTTAACTCAACACTTCTGTGCTCTTTTAAAAGTCACTACTCTTTTTCGCAAAATACATTTGTTGACAAATGGAACAACAGGAGTATGGTATTGGAGAGAAGGTTATTAGAGAATGGTCTCATTCAGTAGAGTAAAGAAGAAAAATTAAGGTTTTTGGATGTGCTATGACTAGAAAAGCTCTAGGGTTGACAGAGGGGCTAATGGATTGCTTTTGGTCTACATGTACTGGCCTCCATTCCACCAGAGATTATTGTCAAAACAATTCAGTGCACTGTTTCCACCAGAGACATGAAAGCTGGAGGAAGCTTGGTGTTACCTGAGGTAATCTATGCTCAGAAGCTCTGGAGATAATGGGTAATTCTTTGTGAAGTATGAGCAAACTACTGTAAGTAGCTTTTGGGGTGAACGTCTTAGTGCAGTGAATGCCTTTTCATTCTCCACAGCTCAAAAGTCGTTGGCAGAATTTCACAGTTAGAAATAAGTTTCACATAATTGCATGAATCCATGCGCTCTATGAAGACAGCTTTGAACTAGTTGGATCTGCTTGGAAGTTTTTTGCAGTACTTCTATGTCTCATTTATTAAAAAGCTACACAAAAACTATAGACTATTACTTAGAATTGTACAGCACTACTTCACACAAAACTGAAAATTGTATAAGAGAAGATATATTCAAGAACGTACTACAAACACACACACACACACACACACACACACACACACATATATATATATATATATATATATATAGAGCTAAGTAGATTACTTATAAATTGTATTTAATTACTGATTCCAAATTACATGACAAAAATTGTAGTTGTTAACGTAATCCATTACATTACACAATTTAGGTAATATAATGAGACTTTCTGATTACTTTTGGATCACTTTTGACCTAACTTGTTTTATCACATCAATTTAAATAAGATTATCTTGTACCATATTGATATATAAAAAAAAGAAAAATTATATATATATATATATAGATATATATATATATATAAAGCTCAAAACATACATACACACACATCTGCAAACAACTTCAGTTTTCTGAGCCCTTTTACTGACTGCAGAATTATTGTTATTACTGTGGATTTTATTACTTTTATTACTTGTTTTTTTTTATTATTATTATAGATTTAAAAAATATATACACAATATACATTAAGTCTTTCAAAGTTGTTATAGCATTATTGACAGAGTTAATTCTGTAAGTTTTATCTTAAGTGAAAATGTTTACTTTCATATCATAGCTAATACAGCAACCAGTCCAAAGTAGTAGCAGTGCCTAAATAATAAATACTAAATAGTGCAGCTTTTAATCTTTTAAACAGTGCAACTTTTATTATTCTAATTAAGATCGCTTGCTCGTGTGAGAGAGAGGTAAAACAGAATAGGCTCTCTCCTCAGCGCTTCCATTTGGTTCTCTCAGGTCATTTAGGCAATAATTCACACACATCGCCTTATATAAATCCATATCCAGAAACTTGACCCATCATATTTTACTCTCAACCACCATTCACTCAAACAGCAAATCCTCATCCCCTCAGACATCTCATCTTCAGCACACTGGCGTTCTATCTCAGCGTTGCCATGCAAATGGTCTTCTTGCCCCTTGCTTTCATTTATTCCCTGTGCCAGCATCTTTCATAACAAGTGCACAGCAGAAAAGGTCAGATTTATTAAAAGCTCTCTCTATATATATTTTCACCCTCCCTCTCTTCTTCTATCAGTGTAGTCACATCCACGGCTGCTAATCATTTTCGCCTTTACACGCAAACATCC